AAAAAAAAAAAAAAAAAAAAAAAAAAAAAAAAAAAAAAAAAAAAAAGGGCTCCTGAGACGATCCTGGCAATTACAGGCCAGTCAGTCTAACTTCAGACAAACTGGTTGAAACTATAGTAACAAACAGATTTATCAGACACATAGCCTACGTCTCTACTTGCAGATCTAGAACACCGGGTGTAAAACCAGCCCTCAGAGACAGCAGCAGGGAAAGCACTGCTGTGTGTTCACACTGTGCTCCTTGTGACTGTGGAGCATGTCCACATTAACAGCTCTTGCAATGCCAGAGAGCAGTGCATTGTGGTAGCTATCCCAGTGTGCAAGTGTCTGCAGCGTGCTTTGGAAAGGGTTTGCAATGCCTAATGGGGCAGGCACAGTGTCACATGATGCAGGTTTCCCAATCCCATTGTTCCATGGGCATCCTACTAGATTGCCAGCTGTTTTTCAAATGAGGGGGTGGAGAGTGTGACAGGGAGTGTGTTGTGTGTGTATGGAGGGACAGACTGTGTTTTGGGGGGTAGAGTGTGTTAGCATGCTATCTTGTAAGTTCAGACAGCGGCAGGGGGAAACCCAACATCAGCCCCCACCCCCGTCTCTCTCTCACACACAGACACACAGACACTCTGCAGCAGGAGCTTTCCACAGTAATGGTTTGCTTTGTGTCCCAGAGCAGATAAGCATGCGGGCTGTCAGAAACGGAGCTCTGAAAGGGGATATACGCATGCCTGCAGTTGAGTTCAAAACAATGACCAGAGTTGTCACTTGACTTCAGGGGATTATGGGATGTTTCCACAGGCCAATCACAGTGCAGTAATGCAACACGTCGTCCACACTGACATCCCGGCGCTCCAGCCCAGGCACAGCAAGCTCTATGCTTCTCGTGGAGGTGGATTACCAGGAACGCTCAGCTGTAGAGTCCAGGCGCTCTAAGTGCCTTGCCAGTGTGGACACCTCAGGAGTTATGGTGCCTGGGGCTGATTTAATGTGCTCTAACTTGCAAGTCTAGACAAGGCCATAGATTAACACAATATGCTGCGGAAGAGTCAACGTGGCTTTTGTAAAGGGAAATCATGCCTTGCCCATCTATTAGAATTCTTTGAGGGGGTCAAAAAGCATGTGGATAAGGGTGATCTAGTGGATAAGGCATATCCAAACTTTCAAAAAGCCTTTCACAAGGTCCCACACCAAAAGTTCTTAAACAAAATAGGCAATAATGGGATAAGAGAAAAGGTCCTCCCATGGATCAGTAACTGCTTAAAAGACAGGATACAAAGGGTAGGAATTAATGGTCAGTATTCACAATGGAGAGAGATAAATAGCAGTGTCCCCCAGGGATCTGTACTGGGACCAGTACTGTTCAACATATTCATAAATGATCTGGAAAAGGGGTAAACAGTGAGGTGGCAAAGTTTGCAGAAGAAACTAAATTACTCAAGATAGTTATATCCAAAGCTGACTGAAAAGTTACAAAGGGATCTAATAAAACTGGTGATTGGGCAACAAAATGGCAGATGAAATTCAATGGGGATTAATGCAAAGTTATGTACATTGGAAGACACAATCCCAACTATACATACAGAATTTTAGGGACTAAATTAGCTGTTACCACTCAAGAAAGATATTGACGTCACTGTGGATAGTTTTCTGAAAACATCTGCTCAAAAGAGCAATGGCAGTCAAAAAAAGCTAACAATGTTAGGAACTATGGTCATTAGGATATTATCTATTCCTTTCCCACTATAAAAATCCATGGTATGGCCACACCTTGAATACTGCATGCCCCATCTCAAAAATATAAATAAATATTAGAATTGGAAAAAGTACAGAGAAGGGAAACAAAAACAATTGGGAGTATGGAACAGCTTTAATATGAGGAGAGATTAAAGAGACTGGGACTGTTCATTTTAGAAAAGAAACGACTGGGGGGGGGTGAAATGATAGAGGTCTGTAAAAACATGAATGGTATGAAGAAAGTGAATTGTTATTTACCCCTTCACATAACACATTACCAAGGGCCACCCAATGAAATTAATCGATAGCATATTTAAAACAAACAAAAGAAAGTACTACTTTACACAACACACAGTCAACCTGTGGAACTCATTGCCAGGGGATGTTGTGAAGGCCAAAAGTATAACTGGATTCAAAAACAAATTAGATAAGTTGATGGAGGATAGGTATCAATGGCTATTAGTCAAGATAGTCAGGGATGCAACCCCATGCTCTGGGTGTTCCTAAACCTCTGACTGACAGAAGCTGGGACTGGATGACAAGGGATGGTTCACTTGATAAATTGCCCTGTTCTGTTCACTCCCTCTGAAGCATCTGGCATCAGCCACTGTCAGAAGATAGGCTAGATGGACCAATGGTCCGACCAGTATGGTTATTCTGATGTTTCTTATGTAAAGATTGCTATCAAAGCAATCACTTTATGTGTACAAAACAAAATTTTCCACAGAAGACATACAGCATTTCTCTATCTATTACATTTCTGATAATGCAGAATGATTCCCTACTGTCAGTTTACTATAGCTTTGTTCCGTTTCCTTTTAAGTGTTCCAAGAGAGGGCATTTCTACCATTTCCCTTTGGAAATTATTTCACATTGTAATAGACCTAACTGTAGAAAGTTTCTCAGAATGCTTACTTTTTCTTATCCTCATTGCAGTATACTTTCCTAAAAATTCTTATCCTTGATGCTTACAATTTTCAAATATTTGTGTACTATCCTGTCCCTCTCTTAGCTGTCATTTCCCCCTCATATGTACATTAATAAGCAAATTAAGTTCAATAAATACATCTATATTGCCCTCTCACCTAACTTGATTAGGTACCTTTGAAGTTCCTCAGAGTCGTCTCTGGACTTTACTAACCTAAATAAGAAATGGTTACTAACCTCTTCTGAAACTGTTTTTCTTCAAGATGTGTTGCACACAGGGTGGATAAAAATCAATGATTTTTTTTAAATAAAAAAATAATCTGATTTTTTTAATTTAAATTGGATTTTCTTGATAAAATGCTTTTTCAGGAAAAAACCTATCTAAAGATAGTTTTAATTAAGATACATTATAGCTCAAAGATATCTCATCATGGAATAGGGATTATAAATTCTATAGTATAAGACAATATATTCATGTAATGTTTAAGAAAAGTTTTGTAAATGAGTTCCAATAGTTCATGGATTAGGGACTGTAATCAGGCGTGGACTCACCCCTGCGGTGCCTCCTGCTGGTTGTCTCAGGAATTAGCTCACCCAGCATCCGGAGCGCCCTCTGCAGGCCAGGTGTCCCGCCTGTCGTTGGCCCCGTGTCCCTCCCGGACCCCGGTGCCCTTGGCTTGGGTGCTGCCCCCCTGGCAGTACCCCACTCTCTCTCTGGGTCTCCCCACCCAGGGGAACCCCCACCCCTTATCCCAATGTCGCCTCAGTCGTGGCTACTGCCAGTCACCATCTAGCCCCCGCGCCCTGGGGCAGACTGCAGTCTATCAGCCAATCATCATCGGCAACAAGGGGTTTGGACTGGCTGCTTTTACCCACCCTCAGGCTGCCCCTGTGCAACCCCAGTACCTATTTGGGCCTAGGACCAGGCCCTGCAGCCTGGGGAGTTGCTCGCCTAGGGCTTCCCAGCCCACAAGGCCTTTCCCCAGCCCTGCCTTACTCTAGGTCCCCGGGTGAGCTCCCTGCAGCCAGGCCTGTCTCTCTCTCTCCTGTCAGAGGGAGACTCCTCAGCTTCTGGCTACCCTGGTCTTCTTATAAGGCTGAGTTCCTCAGTTTGGGGCGTGGCCCCAGCTGCAGCCACTTCCCCAATCAGCCGGGGTTTTGCCCCTTTACACAGCCCCAGCCCTCTGCAGGGCTTTTCCAACCCCTTCAGGGCTGGAGCGGGCATTCACCCGCTACAGGAACCCAATCTTATGGGGTTCCAGAGGCTTCTGTATAGATTATTTAGGTTAATCTTTCTATTTACCCAATGGGGCTCAGTGTAGAAGATACCATCAGAGATGCTTAGTTTTGCAGTTCTCAAACTGTGGATTTGTCTCTCCAGAGATAACAGCAAAAATGTTTTTAAATAAATAAAATAAATAAATAAATAATATATATAGGTGAA